ATCCCACATCGGTGAGGCTAGGGAGTCTTCTCTTCCTTATAAGGAAGTGGGAGTCTTCTCCTACCAGTGACGCGTTTTAGAAAACAAAACCGTGAGGGGTTGTTGCCGTGCGGGGAAACCCCGGGGCAGCCCAGAGCGGACAATATCACGTGGGCGGCTCCCTAGTGCAGTTACCGGTCCAACACTTGTTTATTTTACCCTTACAAGGGTATTCTAGTAAATTGAATTCATTTGTAACCCCCAAACAATTAATGGGGAGTTACAAACAATCAAATCCTAAAAAAATATGCATTCATATTATTAATTTTTTTTTACTATTGATCTTTCATGTTCATTCTTGTATGAATTCCTAAATCGCATAAGAAACACGGTAGTAACGATTTTCGGTATTGATCAATTTGAACACAAATGAATCGTGAACACAATTTGAACACAAATGAACAACCGTGAACACAATTTGAACACAAATGAACCGTGAACACAATTTGAACACAAATGAACATCCGTGAACACAATTCGAACACAAATGAACCGTGAACACAATTTGAACAAATTAACAAATGAACACAAATTAACAGATGCTACCTTAATTTTGTGGGACGTCTATGTATGTGAATATATGGGCCAAAATTGTACATATCGTGTTCATATCATGTTCATGATTCATTTGTGTTCAAATTGTGTTCACGGTTGTTCATTTTTGTTCAAATTGTGTTCACGGTTTATTTGTGTTCAAATTGATCAATACTGAAAATTATTATTACCGTGTTTCTTATGCGATTTAGGAATTCATACAAGAATGAACATGGAAGATCAATAGTAAATAAAAATAATAATAAAATGAATGCATATTTTTTGGGAGTTGATTGTTTGTAACTCCCCATTAATTGTTTAGGGATTACAAATGAATTCAATTTACTAGAATACCCTTGATAAGTGTATTTTTCTTCCCAAAATGCCCCTTTCATCATTGTTCACTAGGCCTCATTAAAATTCAAACTTTAAAATTTAATTTTTTTTATTGATTAATCTTAACCGTTCATTATAGATTTGAATGGCCAAGATTAGTTAATAAGGTTAACACAAAAATGATGGTTAACATTTGATCTTGGCCTTATATATATATGGTTGGGTTCACGTGAGACCAGACTGTTTTCGTGAAACCCGTGAGACCACATTTTTACACTTGAAACTTCACAGCAAAAACACTGTGAAAGTTTAAAAAAGTCGAATGTTCACAACAAAAACACTGTGAAGGTTACCTTCACATCATTTTTTTTGTGAAGTTTCAAGTATAAAAAGCTGGTCTCACGGGTCTCACGAAAACATGCTGGTCTCATGTGATCCAAAGTCTATATATATATATATAGAGAGCCTATTCAAGGGAGAACTGAGTTGTTTGTGGTAACTGTGAGAACCAATATTAACCACAAATCAATAGATAAATTAGGA